CACGACTGGCATCGCCTCCTACCCCGTCTGATACCATAAGTTATGCAGTCAAATCACTCCAACACAAGACGCAATCCGCAACTCTGCGTCTGAGCTGTAGAAACCACAGCGACCATGTGAGTAGGGGATTACTCTGCCCGTTTTCTGACCGAGACCAGAAGCGGAACGTGTCAGCGGTTGTTGAATGTAAGCATGCCTGGGAGTAAAATGTTTATGATGACAATGTGAGTTGACCGTAAGATACCAATGATTCCCAGTAGAGCGAGGAATAGGGGATTTTCGAATAAAATGAAATATATTTGTAATTGCNTTTCTTAGTTTTATCTATTCCTAAACGAGCATTTGATAAAACAATGCGTTCAACAAAAAATGACTGATTACAAAAACTGGATTATATTAAGAAATTGGGTGAATAAAAAACTTCATTTTCGTAAGTGAAAGCAACAAAAAGTCCTGCCAGTATTTGACATAAAAAAACAAACAAAAAAAACAGAGTATGCTTTCCAAAATAAAATAATGGAGAGTAAATAGGATAAAGATAGGTCGCTCCTTCGAATACAAATTACCCGAGGGGGGAGCTATATCGTTTGAATTTGGTTGTTTCTGTTACAGAGAATACAAATGCAAAGAGGCAAATGATACTCACCTCAGTGAAGTGCAGTAAGATTCCACTCGGTCAAAACATTGTGGAGCAAACTGAAAAGTATCCATCCCATTGGGAAACCATTCACGTCTTTGATTTGACAAAACTAATTACATGTCAATGAAGATTGGTTATTGATGAAGCAATTTTTATTTCTACCACCAAAGAACTGTGTATGACGAACTCCACTAAAGTTAACAATCAAGATATATATATATATATGCTCATTTCTAACGGCATTCTCACGGCTGTTTGTCAAAATGAAAATCAACCATGAACATGGCTCTTTGAAAAACGATTGTCTACATTTGAGTTCGCGTTCTTTTGTTGTTATGATTGGAGTTTAGATAATAAAACATACAAACCTACTCTTCTGTGGGAATCAGAGACACAAGAGAAACTGTGATCTCATGCCAAATTGAAATGGAATAGAATAAAATGAAAATCGATATTCCACTGATTTGAACAATGGAATGCGCATTCAGGTCAAATTCCAGTGAGCATTGTATTGCTTAGCTAAATAATACTGACTCAATTATAATTATTTTCATTTAAAGTTATTTAAAAAATTAGGATCAGCTTTGGGAAGTAGGTGAAATGGTGAAATAAATAAATGACCGAAGAATTGCTAAAAAATATTTTGAGGATTGGGATCAGCTGTCGAGAAAGATGTGCATACATTTTATTGCACAGATCGGTATTTCCCTGTCTATCACTAAGCTCACGATTCGGAAAAAATCAGTGAAAATCTCAGGAGCAAACAGTAAAGCGAAAGTGAAATGCTTTGGCGGTAAAATAAAAAAAGCAATGCATCGCAGTTTTTCAGATGTTGCGGCTGTTTTCTGGTGCAAGTGCATCATCTCCTTTACGATTACCAAATGGTTTCCTTTTATTTAACTATATAGATGATGATTTTGAGTGTTTAACGTGTCTAAGGAGAGCTACGGTTCAATAATTGGCGGGTCTTGAGGGAATCAGATATTTTGGTCCAATCAATGATTTTCGGTATTCACGGATTTCGAAAAAATTCATTTTACAAAATAAAAAATAAATTGAAAGTCATAGTTAAAGTTTTATTATGGGTGATTTACCAAAGCCAAAGCTTATCATGCTCCATAGAACTTTTACAAAATATTTTGAATAACTTCACAAACAGAAAAAAATAATAATAACAATTTGCATGATCAGTCACTGTTGCTCCTCCAAACAACCTTCAACTGCAAGCACACCAGTCACTAGATAATTAACTAGAGTTCTCGATAGAATAATTTGCAAATTATTCTTTGCTTCAATCGTCTTGCATTCGAGTATATTCCACCAGCAAACAAATGTCCGTTTCTCTTCACTTGCAGACTATTCCACCCCTGGTTCTGTTCACAATCAGTCATAACGCATAGTTATGGCAATCAGTTTTTTCTTCCGATTCGGCGCTTATCAGGCTTGCGCATGTAGCGAGCAGGAGTTCGACTTGCCCGATGTGTTCGAGGCTGCAGCCGCTATGGTGCAAAAATTGGTACGTGTTCGAGATCCACTAGCCCCCCCCCCTCAAACCGTCCGTCCATCTTGCATGCGTCCAACCTGTGCATAAAGATAGATGCTCTATTGTGCTCTCCCTGTCTCTTTCTCTGTGTGCTTTAACAGATGGACAGGCAAAGCGACGAAGATTTGCGGGACAAAATTCTTCTCTTTTTCAACACGGAAAACACAGTCGAGGGGTTTAAACCGGTTTACACAGCACAGGATATTTCTCAGGGATGTGTGATACAAATTCTATTGTCCGGTGAGTCCGTCCTCATTATTGGGAACAATTTGCCGCACGGAATTCCGTCTTATCTATGTGTGCCATCTAGGTTTTGTGAAATATAAAACACTGGTCGCATATACGGACGATCAAATTTTCGCCAACAGGCCTGTGTTTGGTCTTGAATGTATTGTGACTACTCCCACTACAGCCATTGCCTGTTTTTAAAGTAAAACCTCATTAAGGACGTGGTGGAATACGACGTTTCTCATTTAAAGGTATCTGAAATTTTGCAGAAGGTAATACGTTTAAAAACATTTTCCATTTTGCCCCACAATGTATGTGAACAATAGATTGCCTTTTGAATGTCATAGTACCTGAAGTCAATTAAATTATTCTTCCCAAGGGAAAAGAAATAAGAGAAAGAACAGAATGATCAATAACTTCAGTTTTGCACATTTAAACGCATGAAATGTGGTTACAGTATGATAAATGTCACTTGTGTTCGGCTGGGAAGAGATTAGCAAGATAAACAAGAACAATCGCTTCTGATTACTTATACAATTGTAGATTCTAGGGCCTTTTCAGCTTAGTGTCCCATTTTCCTATTAAGGTATCCTATAATAATGCGAACAGTATCTTGAAGCATTCAACGACATTTTGTAAATCATTTGAGTAGTTTAAGCGAAAAAATACGATGACAACACTCTTAGAGCGCTTCTCCAACGCACAAGAAACGCAGTTTCTTTTACAGCATACCAGAATGTGGTGGTTTGTCTACTCGAGGATGTTCTGCATCTATCGATAATCGTTAGCCAGGACATCCATTCAAAAAGACCCTTGTTTCAAGTGATGCTATCCACACGGTAACAGAATACCTTTAGTTGACAAAAGCACAGTAGATATGAAAAGGTATCAAATAGCTTCAAAATCCAATAGCTTTTTATTTGGAAATGCGGCTTAGTCTTCGAAGAATCTTGGGGAATTGGCGCCTAACCGCGTAATAAATTCTAACCAAACAGCACTGAAGTGGATAGGCCAAAAAGAAATTACCGCCGGTTTGAACTGCGGCTTAAGAAACGTTTGAGATATGTCTAGGCAAACCAGTTGACTTGAGTTAAGTGGTTAGCGAGATCAGATCACAGGTTGCACTTTACAGTCCTTATGCGTGCTCCTAACAAAAAAACGGAACGGTTGGTAACAGAGTCTGCTGAGTGGCATTTAAATATTTGATATAGTTTCTCCTTGAAGCATCAAACTTGAATGCTATCTTTTTCATCATGATAATGGAATGCGATTGGGATTATGATAGGAAGAAATGCCCTGTTTTCATGATCCGGTCGTGAAGCGTCCAGTGTTACTCAATACCAAAAATTTGATTGTCTCGAATCTACTCGTCACACGTGACTTACATCAGAACTGAAATATGGGACATGTTTAGAGGCGACGTGTGATAAATGCCTTTTTTCACAAATTATACGTATGTATATGTGTACATAAATGTATCAGAGAGGAGCAGTACAAGCGTACTACTCACAGTTATGAGTAGTATGGTTGGAGTGCGCAAAAGAATGAGATTGGCGGTTTTTCATAATGGTCAAAAATGAAAGTCATGGAAAAATTGCTTTAACTACAGAAAATACCCATCTTCCGTTAGACCGGTTCATTAAATGTGGTGCTTGCGTTATGACCTAGTGAAACTTTCTGTTATATGTACCTCATTTTATCTATAACTTTACCGTAGGTCATAGTAAATAACTCTCCTCGTCTCGGCTCTGAATTGTGGGTTTATGACACAAGTGTCCCGGATTTTGTGTGTGCGTGTGAGATCACATTAACGATATACAAGATATCCGAAATGTTCTCACAATTTCCAGTAGTTCAATGTTCGAGGAATTTGGAGCATGTAGTCGACTGATGAAAGTGCGGCCGATCTCTAAATTTGCGATCAAATCTCTCGACTATTTGTGTTTCCGTAAGATCCGGTACACAACCGTGTTATGTTTATAGGTTTCTGTAAAGTCTAAAGGTCCTTCACTTTTAAAAGTTTCGCTGCTCTGATTACCAATCCGGAACAGATAGTTTCGGTTTAAATTCAAAAGATCGATGATACCAATGCCAGACATGTATTCGGCAATAATTTGCCAAGAGGCAACACTGTAATTGAAACAAATATTGCTTCCTAATAAAGGTTTTCTGTTGAGCAGTGTTTGTGCACTTATGGAGAATTTAGTTGTTTTGCATGATCTGCGGTACTCGCGTCTTTTGAAATAAAATCTATCTTTTAAGCAAACAGTCACCTCTTGCAACGTTTTCGAGGAGAATGAGGCCGCATAGTACTAACAGCACGTTTTGGATGAACCTCATTTAGCCAGTTTTGCAGATACAATTTGTGAAGGTCAGCCATGAACGTTTTATTGAATGCTTACAAAGGGCACATACAGAATACAGTTGTGGATCTGTTGCATGATCCATGTACCGATGGTATTTAATCACTGACGGATTGCTCCACAAGTTGATAAACTCACCGTCGAACCAATCATTTGTTCTCATTTATACGAGTGCCATTGGATGAAGACGCGCGAAACTCCTATTTAGATAATATCCATTTTTATGACAATTCGTATAATATATGAATGTCCCTTTTGTTTTTGTCTGAGCTCATCAGTGTCTTGTGTATATATACCATCATTGCTGGGTTGATAGTTGGACACTTGGAATTGAAAATGTCATTTGAGATAAGCATAAAATCCTCGATTTTCCCAGGGAAAAACAGTGCATGGTAAATAAAAGCTTGGGGGTGGGATGGGGGTGGACTGGCAGACATACAACAGAGGGCAGCACAGATACAGATGCATCAGAAGTGACTATACACCAATTTGTGAGATGCTCAAAAGATCCAAGTCACTATATCGGATACAACCTTTAGTTGAAGCTAACAGGTCATCAGTGTGACTTTTCCATTACCGACTACTTCCGCAATAGTAAATGTGAGAATTCCACTTACGCTTTTTGAAGATCTGATAAGTTGGGGTTTAAAAGAACTCCTGATGCACCAGTGTAGCTTGCGCTTGAGCTTGTGACGTTTGATTGTACCACTTTGAGCAAGAGCTCCTTGTCTTGTATTCCAGTGACCGACTTTGGGGTCTCCTAGGGAACGAAAGAAAGGATGCATATTCCCATCCGAAACAAGTAAAATCATCCGATACACTGTTGCTGAATATGATATCTATATTTTGAAAAGAATCCAAGCGCGATCAATCGCTAGCATTGACACTGTTTGGGCCCTAGAATTTGAGGTTCAAATTGCACTGTCGTTATCCAAATTTGGTGGGAGGCAGCTTTACAGTTACTCCGCTCAATATCATGCCTCCACTAGTAGAGCCTTATGTGGTTTGATATTTCGAGTCTCTGTGATTAAGCTGCCGGTTTCCACGAATGCAGATTAGGTTTGCCGCTTCTGTTATTCATCGCACAATGTAGTTTGTGTGTATACACTTTGAATTCTAAGCAAAGGTAAATTTACCAATTTTGGCGTGGAAATCAATCTAAGTGGTTCATTTCAAAGGCAAAACTTTTTTTCTATTCAGAGAGATTGAAACCCTTGGTTTATTAAAGGTGCTTCTATTCGCGGGCGCACCATACAGTGCAAGATCGTTAGTAAAAACGGTCTGGATAGAGAATTGGTCGTTCATTCACGGCTGGTACATGATTTCGACTGAATCTGCTCCCAAATTCTTGTTCATGCGCAATACTATGTCCAGTCTATCCACCATCTATCTATTCGAGAATCATTAGGCCAAGGTTTCGCTTGTGTTGGTTGGGTCTCTTCAGTCGTGAACCTCCACCGGGTCATCTGCATGAGAAGTATTTGTGTATGTGTTGGTACGACCACTTTGTCAGCCAGCTTACATCGGGACTGTCAGAGTTACCGATTCCGGAATTGGTAAAATTCCATTTTGAAAGGCATTTGAAGGCCAAAAGTCATTTATTTGACCCAATGGTGACAAGGGAAGATATTGTGCAGTATTTGTTACCGACAACGCAGTAGAACAGCATCCAAATGAATAAATATCCGTTTTCAGGGAACCAAAAGTATGAGAGCGACCATCCGACTCCGTCCGATACACTCTCAACAAACGATTAGAAAAATAAAGAAAAATTGTCTAAATCTGTTTTGTTCATAAGCTTTTGCTGTCAGACTTAAGTTTTAACTAACCGGAGATAAATTACTGATAAAATAATGTGCATTTTCGAGAGAGGATGCTTGACAATTAATTACACTAGCAAGTTTCATCAAAATGATGTTTCAGACTTTTGCAAAATCCAGTTCCGTGGGAAAACATCTGACGAATATGTTCTCGGTTGCGTGTCAACAGCAGACCTAAGTTATTTTGAACATTCGCTGCTCCCAGATCATGCAAGCAGCAGCAGCAGAATTAAAATTGGATGATTTTAAGTCGATTTTGGCAATGGTTAGGCATCGAGAACGGGAAAGTTGACTGATAAGAAACTGTCTGCAGGATGCACCTGAGCGGCGACACGGCGAAATCTTTCAGGGGAAAAAATTGTTCTTCATAACTGCGCTATGTTCAGTTTTCTCACACAGTGAAAACATTTAATATCACACGTCCACGACCAGTAAGTCAAAATTTAATCAGATAAAACCAAAGTAGTATAGAGCATTTCATTAGACATTGGGAATCATTTAAGGTGGGTAATTCGTAAGTGAGATAATTGCTTTTGTGGGGCGACAATCCATTTCAGGCTGGTGCGTATGACAAGACAACTGGATCGCAACCGGAGCTAATAGGACCAATGCTAACCAAGACTGATTAGGAGCACCTACTTTCTAAAATGCGCGAATAGCGGACAAATTGCAATAAACAAAAATTTAAGTTGGGGGCGGGGAGTGGGTGCGGCACCGTGATAAATATTTCATATTCCACTTTAGGGAACATTATTATCGATTTCGCCAGTTAAAAGGTCAGCAATAAGAGCTCGGTCCCCGTGCCTATTGGCAGTTGAATATGAACAGTTTGAGTGGTGAGGCGTTTGCGAGTGGTCAAATTTGCAGTCGGTCTCATGCAACACGGCAGTTCGGACTTTCGACTGAAACGCTTATTGCGTTATTTTTCTAGTGAAATAAAATTTATACGATATACGAAATATTCATCTCCTGTGAGTCCTTCAATTAGACCAAACGAGTTTGACTGAGAGAAATTAGA